CGAGCCATTCGATTACTCGACAACAACACGCGCGCAATGCAATGACGYATAGAGGAGGTGTTAATGGTCTTCGGAAGAGTTTTAAATCGTTTTCAGCATTCGAAGAGTATTATTGCCTCATCATATTCCACCGTCTCCTATATGGCGTAAAGCGCGGCGTCGGATGGYGGTCTGTGAAGTTTTTCCAAGAAACCATATAAGACACCATTAAAAACGATTAACGACCCATCGCGGTGTTTACTAAACAGGAAAACAAAAGACGACAGAGGTGTGCGACGTGATTGTGTACATTCCTATACTATAGTAGGTAATCATAATATTGTAATTCAGGTACGCCGCGGGAGTGCGGGACATCATTTTATATCATTCTTCCGTTTGTAACTATCTACGAATATAATATAAATACATAGTACACCTATATACGTTGTATGACTTGTACATGTAAAATATGGATATTGTTTTACACATAGGTTAATGAGTAATTTATTTCAACTATAAAAATTAAACGAAATAAAAAACTCATCAAGTGTATGATATGTTTAGTGTTAAGTAAAAAATATTTAATATTATAAAAGATTCTTTTTTTTAATAGTCCGGTTAAATTCAATTGTTTTGCATAAATTATGCAGCATAATATTATATGTAATAAGATAAATTTACCTGGCGGAGTGGCGGATAATGTGCAGCTGTCAGCAAATTTGGTGTGATAACATAATAATTGTAATACAACCAAATTAACCAAAGTCGTAAATTATAGTACCTATTTAAGTGTTGAACAAGTATTCGACTCGACTGAGATTCGATACAAACCATTATTCTTTTTCAATTTAATAACAGCTAAGGTATTGCTTAAAAGTTAAAGCCAAGTCAATACATTAGCAGTTTATAACTTGCCATCTCATTAATGTCCAGTATCTATATTCTTTAGTATTATCAAAGTATATATTATAAAAGTTGTCTATTATCATGTTTTATTAAAATCAAGGTACCTGATTATATTACTCGACGGAAATGACAATTAAATTTTATCCTAATCAAAGTCCACTTCTATTTTAAYATAATATTATACCTACCTGCGTCTAGCAACAATCGTGTTTACAATCGTAATACTGTGAGATAATCAGTGACATGTTTAGTTCGTTATGCAGTACGYACACATGTTATATGATTAAGTTATAATATTAGCCAAAAATTTAAATTTTTAGGCGTGTGGCTCTCAAACATAATTTTATATCACGTAGATAGTTTATAGGGAACCCGAAGATTTAAAACTT